GGCAGGGCAAAGGCGGCCCCAGGGCCGCTTGTGCCCTGCCCCCCAGTTCTTAGATCCCCCCTGGGTTTCTGATCACTGTCAATGGCAGGGGGCTTCTTCCTGCTTTCCCTTCGCCTCCCTGTATTGTGCCTACATATGCAAATTAACTGCCATCTTGTTGGCAGTTAACTGCCAATCTTAGTTGGCAGTTAATTTGCATATAGCCCTGATTAGCCAATGAAAAGGGTAGCGTCGTATGCCAGTTACCATTTTTCTCTTTTATTAGTGTAGATAGGTATCATATACTTTAGCCGTGGTCTAAGAAATTGTTCAGGGAGTAGAATTGTGAATCTGTGACATTTTCTTTTGTTATTCTGTTTGTTGCAGAATTATTCTTGTAATGCTAGCAATTTTATGTTAAATGATAAAATTTACATTTGAAATAAAGGCCCCTTTCCAATGACATCTTTGCTGTTAGCAAATTACACTCTTGACAGATGTGCTGTTTTCATTTTCATTTTTTAGCTGAATTCAAAACTTCCATTATCTCACAGAAGGATAGACAAGCAGTGACAATTGATTGACTAATCATTTTTTTCCAGTAAAAATATAGATTTGTTTTGATTGCTAAATCTGATAGTTTTAAATCTTTAAGAACTAATTTTGTACTCTGCTGAAACTAATTTTATTTTTATATAAATACATTGATTATTCTGATTGAGAGGATCATGTGTAATCACAACAGTAAATTATAACATGTTACTGATTTTGAAACTTAGTGTTTGTTACCTATAGGTTATTTATTTCTTAATTTGTGGTTTGTGTGGGTGAATGTCAAAATAAGGTTACAGTCCCTAAGCACTCATTAGTACGTAACAGACATGACTGTGAGTATTATTGGAAGGAGTGAGCCTGATATATTGCCTCTTGTAATAGAAAATAGAATACTATGTGTATTATTATTCATTAGATTGGTCTTATGCTGTTCTAGTGAATTGGATGACAATGAGATTTGATTTCCCATTTAAATTTATACCATTTTGGTGACTTTTTTTAGGGAACTCAATTTTCCCTTCATCTTTCTATTTTCATTTTCCTCCATATTCAGATAGAGCTCAGGATTTGATGGTGATTTCAGGAGCACCTAGCTACTTCTCGTTTTACCAGTCCTTGGCACGTGGTAATTTTCTGGTAATCAGCTTTTCTCCTCCTTACATTTTCTGTTATTCCACTTTTTTCCTCCCTTTTTCTTCTAATCCTACTTTTGCTTCTTTTCTTCTTCAAAACAAACTTCTTGTCTTTGTAATACTTCCCTTAAAAAAAGTACTTTCAAAAAGTATTCT